TAATCTACAACTGCACTTGATGTTCTCCTTGTGCTCCACTGGGAGTAGACTATAAATTTGTTTCTTTGCTCCATCTGTTTTCCCAGGAGTACACTAATGGTGGGTTAAAAATTTGCACCTGTAGAAATGCAACAGCACTGGCAGGAAGGAGCACACACAATTGAACAATATATTTCATGGCCTTCTCAAGTTTTTAAATTTGTACATACAGCTATAGCATAAAATTTCCTCCATCAAATCAATAAATGTAGTATAGTACAGACTTAAATGACTTTTTCCAGGCCTTTAACAGGAGCAACAATAGCTCTGCGAAGAGCCCCAGACACTGAGGCAATCAGTCTCATTCACAAAGGATTATCATTAATCTTAAAGTCACGTGCCAATTTGTGCTTCAGCAAAATTATACATAATTCCATTGTCACAGATCTTTGGGGTCAGATGTTAATACTTAAAATGGAAACTTTGAAAGCCAAGGGTATACTGTGGTTGCATAGTGGAACTTTGTTGACCGGCTAAGCTAGAAGGTTTTCTCCACCTCTGAAACTCTCTAGGAAGTACACATGCTGCTTTCTTAACCTTCTTACTATTTTGTTCACTTTAATCTTCATATATTTGAATGACTAGAGTTCTGGCCACGAAGTTGGAAACTTACTGTCAAGTGTACTTAGTACTTTTGGTCCATGATGTTTTCAACTCTATATTTTCTTTCCTAAACTGTGCTGGCCATCAGGGCATATCCTTTAGGCTCAATCTATATACATACCCAGCCATGATGTAAAGTGTGTTAATTTAGAAGAGACATCTCCAATTTTCTTGTTTGTAAAATGGTTCTAATTGGAAATACCAAATGAACTTTCTTGCCTGAATACTGTCAAATAAAGCTGCCCAAATACTGCATATTATAAATATAGGCAGTCATTAAAATCATTTGAGTTGGTATCTAAGAAGGATCTAATCAATTACTTCATTTGACAGTCATTGTCTTTGTATGGGACTGGATGGGTGTGTGAAAAGCCACCAAGAAAATGATGTGCAAGTTAAAGAACTATACACGATATCATGGAAGCTAAATTTGGGTAGTATAAAAATGTCTAATTTTAGCCAGGCATAGTGGTGCACACCTGTAATAATCCCAGCACTCAGGATGCTGAGGCAAGAGGATCACTGCAAGTTTGAGGCCAGCCTAGGCTACAACAGTGAGTTCAAGGTCAGTCTGAACTATATAGTGAGACCTTGTCTCAAAAAGCAAAAAAAAAAAACCCAAAATAAATAGTTATGGTTTGTGTTTAGGCGTCCCCCCAAAGTTTCATGCAGTCATGGGGTGGGCTTCTAGAGTTTTTGACTGATTCATGGTCCAGTGCTGGGATTATAGGTCCAAGTGCTACATCTATCCTAGGGCAGGTAGCCGGCATACAATATAAGGGAGGGAAAGAGGCTTACTTACTACTACTCCTTCCTTTCTGCTCTTGTTGCTTTTGCTGTTTTCTGCCACCATGAACTGTTGCCCTCTGCCATGTGCCACTCTTTCTTGGAGCCAGACGAGTAAGGACTGAAACCTCCACAACTGTGAGCTAAATAAAGCTTTCCTCCCTTAATTTTGTGTGTCAGGTATTTTGTCCCAGCAATGAGAGAAAAGTAAACAAGACATAAATAAAAGTCTAATTTTGCCCAATTGGTATGCTTTGACATGGAGGCCACTAAATTGTGAGGTTTCCAAATTTGATTCTGTTTTTACCAGTAACACTACTTTTTGGCAAATCACCCTTTTTAAGATCTTAATTGAACCAAACACAAACTTAAAGCTAATTTTAGAGATAGCCTTGAATACAATTTCTCTATGCATTCTACCTTCCTTTCTTGAAGACACACCCTAACACTTGTGAGGCCTTGGGCAGTGTACTAGAGTCCTTGCCATCACTAAGCAACAGACTTCAATCAGGGAAACTTGGGCTCAGATAGAGACTATCACTTTTCATCTGTGTAACTATTTAATCCGTGTAACCTCCCCAAAGTACACATCTTTTATCTGTCAAATGAGACTATCACTACACAGGGCAGGCTGGCCTTGAACTCAACTGCTCAATAATAGGGTATTAATTCACAGAAACCTTGAAGAAGTGCTAAACAGAGACCTGAAATATATGAAGACATTAGCCAGGCCCCCCAAAAATGTGGCAGATAATAAGAACATATTCAAGAACAGGGTGAGTTTCAAGGAATTGGATGGAAGTTGGGCTACATATGTTTGATAGATGACTGGAATGGGATAAAGGCTTGGCATCTGTGTCTTCATATTGTGTCTGTTCCTTCTGCTGCCTCTTAACCTTTAGGCCAGATTCTGCGCAGCTCTGTATACAGACATGTTGATTGCCTATTGGAATTGGTACGGATCTTTTCTTTCTCTTTGTCTACCACTATCTCTATGCTCCTTCAGTAGCTACAATAGCTGAGTATCTCAAGTCCTTCAGTCACATCATAAGGCCCAGACTGAATCACAAGGCCAGGATGTTTGCCCAGAATGATGGCACAAGATACAAATGAAATTCAGGAATTCAGGCCTATGGAACATTACCAGACTTTAGCCTTTAGCCTTTAACAAATGAATAAAAGGTTGCTGTTTCCTTCGTTATGGAAGTGGCCTGATTCCTCTTTTTTAATCAGGTGAACCCTGGAATTAAAGTCTTGCCCCTCTGTGTGTTTGCAATACTTGGCTTGGTCTCCTTTCCAATCATGACCGATAACAAGAATTCTGCATTATAGATCACTCATCTTTAAATACCAAATAGCTTTTATTTTTATTTTTTTATCTTTTTGAGACAGGGTCTCACCATGCAGTTCAGGCTGGTCTTAAACTCACTTTGTAGCCCAGGTTGGCCTCGAACTCACAATGATCCTCCTGCCTCAACCTCCTGAGTGCTGGGATTACAGGCGTGGGCCACCATGCCCAGCCCAAATGGATTTTAATATATAACAGATGGACTGAAAGTAAAGAATGAGGGAGCATCACCAGAACATTTCCTTTTCTTCTGGGGCATCTTCTGATTGTTTTTTTTGTTTTGTTTTGTTGAGAAGGGTCTTGCTATACAGTCCAGGTGGGGTTGGAACTCGGGCAGGAATCTCCTCCCTGAGCCTCTGGCATCCTCCACCCTGCCCAACTCATCTTTTGAATTTTCAATTCGTTTTTGTGAATCTTAAAGGAAAAGTAATTTTCTTTTTTTCACCTTCCATTTTTTCACATTTCTAAATAAATTAAGCAGGAGGATTTCATGAGCAAAGTATATGTAAAATAAACTCTGATATCATCACAAGTGTTATTGAAAAAACTTGAAAAAACTTGAAAAAACTTCCATACGTTCCTGCTTCCTTTAACTGGGCATACCAAACAAGATTTTTTTTTTCTTTATTGAAGACATAGGGTCGTGTTCCAACTTTTAAGGTGCCACGCTCTTTTGATCCTATAAGCTGAACTCCCTTCATGGAAGGCCCTATCTTTTCTTTTTGATACTGGAGATTGAACCTAGGGCCTCATGTATACTAAAGCAAGCACTCTATCACTGAGCTACATACATAGGGCCCTACTTATCCTTAGCAGTTCAAGTATTACCTTTCCAAGAAGCTCTCCTGACTTCTCTAATCATCTGTAGTCTCAGTTCCCAAAATCCTGAAATATCTTTCTAATTTTGGCTAGCTTTTCTGTCTTCTTCTCCAGACTGCTGTTTCTCTGGGGCAATGGCTATAACTTTCAATTCTGCATTGGATGTTTAGCACACAGACCCTGAGGCAAACTGATATTGTCAAAAGTTCATTGACCTGCATCCTTCCTGTTATAAATGACTTAAGTGGAGTGTTTTAGAAGTAGGTGTCAATGCCTTAACCTTATGTGTGTTGTCAGGCCCCAAGGGCCTCTTCCATCCTTGTCAAGGGGAGAGCTAACTTTCTCTCCTTTCATACACTGCAGTGTTTTACAATTGAATCTACTTTTAATACTTTCTCTGACTTCTCAAAAAACACCAGTGATTATCAAGTGGGGTGGGTGAGTTGTGGGCTTTGGAAAACGTATTGAAATAATTATATAAATAGGAAAAAGAAAAGAACCCTCATTTTTACATAGCAATTACAGAAATTAAAGCTTGGCAATAACTTGGCTGCAAAAATACGGATTTTCAAAGGTTGAGGTGCAGAATTTCACACCTACTTTTCTATTCTCTTAAATATGCCACTAGTAATTCAATACGGTTGGGATAAATTAAGTTGTTAACTTAGTTTAGTGGGAATAAAATGGTTCAAAATAAAGGTCTGAAAAGCTTTCCTATAAGTGAAGTGTTTGGGATGCAAAGTCTTTCTTTTCCAAGAGTACCAGCATGTTCCATCCTGCCTGTCTCATGCGGTCCCTAAAGTCCTACAATGTTATGCTTTAACACTTTTCTCCGCCCATCCAAATCCTCGGTAGGGTTTAAGACTGCAATCCTTCAAGAGCACATCCTTGCCACGCTTTCTCTGAATTCTAAAGCTGTTGGGGTCTGCAGCAGGAAGTCTTCACAAGTGACCACATTATGCCCGTTATTTTCAACTCTTCGTTTGGATAGAATCCACTTTCTCAACAACCGCAGAGAAACAGGCTACTCAAGTGCTCCGTGAGTTTTGGCAAGTTTGTTAACAGCCTACTATAATACTCACGTGGAAGCTGAGAAATAAGACCAAGTTTAGTTCACAGAGCCTAACCTTAGCTCGCACGGGACGAAGACACGTGACAGCCAACCTCACGTTTGACTTTACAGAAACGCCAGAGTGATTAAGATCTCTGGGAAGTAGAGAGGGCTGTAGGGTGAGAGAGGAAAATCAAACCTCAGCCACAAAAAGCAGCTTTCCTCAGTCCAAGTCTCTGTCCAGTTCGCCAGCTGCCACCCTCTTTGCGACAGTTCCCTGCTCAAGGTGGAAACGACGAAGTCCGAAAGGCTATGGGATCACCTCTGCCCTCTGACCGACCACCGAGCACTTACCAGTTTCATGTTGGACGTTACGGTGTTTAATATCAGTCTCTCCACTTCTCAAACCCAGGATGCGTCTTCCGGTCCAATCTCCGCCGCCCGCCGCCAAGAGCTTCGCGGAACTTGGAGTTTTTCCTCCTCGCGCCCCTTCCCGAGGCATCATGGGAAGTGTAGTCTTACCCAGGCACTATGGGACCTGTGGTCGTCTTTTCCTTTCCTCCCTTTCCTTTCTGAACGCCTCCTTCCGTCAACTCAAATTTATCCCCGCCGCCAATTCATCCTCCCTCTCCACCCCAGCATGATATCATGTCCCCCATATGGAGCGGAGTCCCAGGGTATTCTGGGATGTGTAGTCCCCACGGCTCCGGCTCCCCCTTTTCCCTCCTCCCCGTGGGAAGGCAGCTACGCGCGTGCCCTGCCGGGAGTTGTAGTTCCTGATGATCTCTAGACGCTGACACCAGAGCTTTTACTCAAGGGAGCCAGAAACTACAACTCCCAGGGACGCCTGGCTGCAGCAGGTGGGAGCGGGGCTGTTGATATCAATATGGCGGTTGTCATCCAGACAAAGACAGTCAGTCTGATGTGATTGAGACAAGGGAGGTTTTCAGGGGAAGACTGGGAGATAGGGGCCTCCCCTCCCCCTTCTCCTCTTCCTGCGCCGGCCTCAAGCCCTCCCCAACCCCGCCCGTCGGGCGCCCCGCGCGGAAGACACCCCTCCCCCTCCTGCTTCCCTCCTCCCTACCTCAGCCCTTCGCACTGGGACGCTGGGGAGGGGGCTGTGCCGGGCGGAGAGAACTCAGCAAGGATTCTGAGGTGAGTCGTGCGGTTTGAAGCCGGACTACCTCAAGTCTCTTCTTTCTCTTTACTTAAAAAAACAATTGAGGGGTCTTGGGGAGAAAGTGAGTGGGAGCCAGGATGGGTCTTTTGAGCGGCCGGAGAGAGAGGAGGGAGGAAGCGCAGGGGTGGGGGGGCCTCGGCGGGGGTGACCCGGACGCGGGGTGTGGGGTGGGGCAGTTTGTCGGGGGCGTAGTGGAAAGGCGTCGACCGCTTCCCAACTCTTTTTGGTTCTGGTTTCCTCCACTATGGGCGGAAGGTTTAAATTCTGGAGGTGGGGTCTCCTGCGTGGAGTTTGGGAAACTGCGAGGTGGTTTTGAGGTGTGTCGGTTTGTTTGGGGCGTATAACTGTTTTAAACTGTGTGACGCTCCTCCTGTGCTGGGCTCGTCTTGGAGGAATGTGTGGAGATGGGAAGTTAGATAGTCAGAGTCCTGGCTTTTCCTGGGCCTGGGCTGGAGGCGTGCGCGTGTCCCGGCGCTGGACGTTTGGGCTGGAGACGTGGTGTGGGGTATCTGGGCTCAGCAACTCGTTTGTGTCCCATTGCCCGCTCGCGCTCCGGCACCCGCCTCCGTCCCCTCCCCTAGACAAATCTCCACCCCAAACTCCGGGCAGGAGGATTGTAGATGATGTGATGTGGAGACGGATCTTTGCATCCTGAAGTAGGCATAGGTGGGAAAGGAAAAGTGTTTCTTAATATTTTGTTCCGGAACCGTGTTTTGGTTACACGATTGGGGCCACTTTGAAAGGCGTCCTCCACCCACCTTTACCCCGAAACAGTAGGTAGAGGTATCTTGTCATTTTCGTGTTCAGTGGATAAATAATTACTTAAAATTCGGGGGCGTAGAGGGAGTGGTGGCTTGCGTGCACATCTGTGTCTTCTAAAGACACTGAATTTTTTTGTGTCCTGAGATAGGACGACTTATTTTTTGTAATAATAATAATAAACTGTTGGAAATTATTAGCGGGGAAGAGGGATTAGGGCGAAAGGCTCTGCTTATATTTTTCTTCTACCCCACCCTGTTCTCACATTTGCCTGAAAGCTCCTAAGGAAGAGTGAGGAAGCATTGGGTGAGTGAATAGAAGAATGCAGTTGGCAGTAAAGATACTACCCTATGTGAAGTTGAATTGTATAAAGTGCTGTTTTTGTTTAGTCTGAAGCTTTGGGGGAAAAAAACTCATGCGTCATATAGGGTAGAGTGATTTTTTTATTTTAACTCTAGGGTAGAGTGATTTGACTAGTTAATTTCTCTAGGATCCTGCAACTGTAGAAACCTTTGCCTTCTCTCTCCCTTCTCTCTTTTCTCTCGTATTTCCTTCCTTCCGTGGCAGAGGGTATTTCTCTCCCTGATGGATAAAATACCTTCTTTGCCTTTCTTTTTGGTTTGTACTAATATGGTTGTGCTTCTTATGGTTTTACTCTAAAATAGTGAAAAAGATCTGTGCTTGTTTTTGTTTTGCATTTATATCACAGGTAATTATTACAGGTAGTCGGTTCTGTCATGCTTTGCATTAAACTTGTTAAAATTGCACAAATAAATTGCTAGATTTAGCTGAATTTTAAGTCCGGAAAATTTGATTTTCTTTCAATTTTGAATTAAAGGGAAGAGGAGTGCAACATCTCTTGTTTCTCACAGTCTTTAATATTTAATAACATTACACCAGGAGAATTTAAGATCATATATTTTGTACTTCCTTCAATCTGAAATATAAGTTCTTTAATAACCTTTCTTATGTGACAGTTTTTAGTGTTGTGGACTTTTAAATGAAGGAATTGGCATAATTTCTATTTATACTGTTGAGGATTTAATGTATTTATGTATTTGGTTGAGAATTTACCAATTCTAAAATCTTCTACCTATCAGTGAGAATGTTTAGATTCTGTAAAAACTGAAAGTCACATAGATACGCTATATAATTTTATAGTAGGTTCTGTAACCTTTGATTTGAAATTTTTGCTGTTGCCCATTCACACAGATAAGGGGACTGTAAGCACGAGGTGGCATATATAGATTGACCTGAAAAACCATTTATGTGTTTTATAAATCCCAAGTTTAATATATAGAATATGTTATTCCAAAGCTGAGCATGTAGTTTTTAGATGTTGGGATTTCTACAATTACTTGTTTTAAGCTTGCATCTTAAACTGAAACATTACTTTGAAAAAGCTGGAGAAAAATCCTGTGTAAATGCATAGTAGAGTGTTTTTTTTATTTTCTGAAACACACTGTGATAGTTATTGAATTTAAAAATGTTTAACAATTATCTTAGAAATAAAATACTTGTTAAGAGCAGAAAAAATAGTGTTCAGCTCCCCTACCCTTTTTATTTTTATCTGTGGAAATGCAAAATATTTATTGGGAAAAATGTTCATTAAACTTTCTATTAGTTGGATCAAAATCATTATATGTGTACCAAATATATCCCTTCCATTCATTGGGCTGATTCTGTTGCATTTTAAGCACTGAGGCATTAAAATGATGTAAAGCCTTTACTGCAGGTTAAAGCATAAAGCACTCTCAGCATGTGGAAGTCATATGGCTTACGAAAAAGTAGAAAACCAGGGCATTGGTGCCTGTCCAGCTTTAAATTTCATCCCGTAACTGTAAAGACATTTATTTTAATGTGATCACTTCTAAAAATGTTGCCTTTATTATGGGAAGTTGAAAATCCAAACTATTTTAAACCAGTCTGTTGCTAGTTTTGTGTACAGCATATAGAGAACACTTTGTGGTCACAAATGTGCATCAAGGAAAGGCATCTTTACCTCTTTGTTGAATAAATGCCTTCAGTGAGGCTTTATTTTTACTGCTGGGCAGATTCAGTCTTGCAGGCCAAATCCTTAAAGCGTTAATACTAGAATCCTTATAACTCAATATTCAGAAGTTTTAAGATATATTGCAACAAATCTACCATTTCATTCTGGCAATTTTGGTGGCAACTGTTGATTGGAATTCCATTGCTTATTTCCGTGTATGTTGGCTACACTGGGAATGTTCATCTCAATTTGTTCTTTTTGAGTCTCCTATATGCTATATTCAGTCCATCCTAGTTTTAAATTTTCAGACAGCTACCATCTTTCCTATAAAAGCATACTATATTTGTTTTCTGTTGTTTACAATTGCAGTTGTCATTTTTATTATTTTTCTATGTAGTTCTTTAAATTTGAATTATTTTCCTTGAGAATTATAAATTTGTTAGAATGTTATTCTTAAATAAAAGTTGGCATACTACTCAACTTTTTAAAAACGTGAACATTTATAGATAAAAGTACTCAGTGAAAATATGAAGGTTTTGTTTTCTGTACCTGCTTTATTTAGCTTTTTGGCATCCAGAATCTCACTTTGTTATTCTTTGGTTGGTCTTTCTTTTAACTGCTGGCATTTCCTTCTCAATTTAGCAGAACTTTATTTAAAAATTGTCATGAGTGAAACATAGCTTCTCTGGAGTGACATATATGTATATCTACACACATGGTCACATATATACAAAGCACCTTTATGTTTCTTTATATATTTATCAGACATGCAGCATATAAAAGCCAAGCTATGCCAAAATTGCAGGAGACACTAAACATTGGCTTAAGCTAGGAACTAAAGAGTAATCACCAGCACATGCTGTCCAAAATTTAGGAGCTTGGAGATTTTTAGTATCATTATACACCCCTGTTTTAACAGATTCTGCCAACATATAGAATGAGAATGGTTTGAAATTTTTCTCAAAATAATGTTATGTAATTAATATGTGACATTGATTCTTATGTGTACCTAGATGACCCTTAGTAGACTTAGGGTCCATTGTAGGCACAGGGTAAACATTTTCTCAAGTAATTATTTGATGATGAAACTTGCAGTTGGGCTGGAGGCACAGGCCAGTGATAAGAGTACTTATATCCCCAGAAGCATCACAAAAACAAAACAAAACAGAACAAAAAAAAAAGCCCATCACCACAACAAAAACTTCTGGTTAGCATCTATTTAAACATAACCTTGAGCTTTAGAAAACTTACTTTCCTTGACCTTAGGTGAAACAAGTTGGAAATTTACTATAACATTATCTTGAACACCTTCCAAAGAGCATTCAGTTACTGGAAGGGCTTGGCTTTCACAATAGTTTTACCCTCACAGTGGTAATAAGTTGGAAGGTACAGTGTTTTTCAAGCAGTTGTTATAATCTTAATGCAGTATTTTACAGATACGGTAGGCTATAAGCAGGTGGAGTTTTGTTTGCTTTTAACATTTGTGAACAAGAGGAGGAAAGATAACAATAGTTTGCTTTAGCTTTAATATAACTATTTTAAGTTTTGTTTTGACTTTTAAACAGATGGCCTCAGACTCCTTTTTAAATGATAAAATGATTCCAATTTACTCAAAGGTCATTCACCTTTTTTGTAAACTTACAGTGCTGATTATTACTAAATTCCACATACTGGATATAGTCTTTAGTTTCTCTGTCCATCTTATGTCCAGTGATTGTCTACATATAGTGTATTGAAAACATTTACCAACTCTCATAACCATATACACATTAAATTGTCAGGTTGCCAAGTGACAGTAACTTGAACGTGTATAGTGACAGTTTTTTTTAATAGAGTTTTTATAGGAAAAATTACAAACTTTTTAGGAAAATCAAGTGCTGTGGGTACTGCTGAAATGTGGTTGACTTAATACTGAACATATCTGCCTTAAGATTTTGATAAGGTAGTAGTATTGTTAAAGTGTGAAACTGTTGTCCTGGGACCTAGTTAGTGAAACCTTGGAATCATACTCATTCTTCATCCAGTCATGAAATGAAGTAGATTTTGCTCTTTTTGTATATATTCACTTCTTAATTCCTTATGTACATTTGCTTCTTCTCATTCTAATGCTATTCCCTTAGTTCAGGCCTTAATTGTTTCTGACGTATTGCATTAATTCCTTAACTAATCTTCTTGCTTTCAGTTGTTTTTTTTTTTTTTTTTTCATTTGTCATTCTACACACT